TCTGTTTTTTTCATATGGTTGAATATAGATACAACTTAAGTCAACTTCAGTGTATGAATGACCAGAGTGTTAAATACATGTATCTAAATACGTTTTGACAGGGCTATGCTAAAAATGTTCCCAATCGGACATTTTGAGACATCTCCTGAGACCTACAGTGGGTACCCGGGTAGGGCTGGGTAATAGGGGGTTGGGTACCCGGGTAGTAAATTTGGACTCGTCCCAGCCCTCGTTCATAACACATATTACATCAATGAGTGAGTGAGTGAGTGGCATAACGCTGATTTGAACAGTATTTCCGTGTTATTGTCAGCACAATGTGGGAGGGATATGTTGTATAACCATGTGATGCAAGTCTTCATGTTTACCACTTTGGTGAAACATACAGATATGGTCCTAGGCGGATCCAGAGAGATGGTCCTGGGGGTCCGGCCACCCACTTTTGAAAACCAAATATAGTATGGTGTAGGCAGTAACATTATCTGAGAGGGTTTGGATATTTTGGACCCCTCCCTTTTGAAAATGCTGGATCTGCCCATGATGGTGCAGACAAACCTAGAAACCAAAAAATACAAGCATCTAAGGGAAGCAACCACGTGCAAAAAACTGTTTGATTGGCATTCTAGGAGGTGGCAAGGAAGTAAGAAAAAACGTACAACTTTATGGATAAAAAACTTCTGGTTTACCACACAAAGTGATGTTTTCATGTAGATTCTTACTCCATTATCACTCCAGCTTGATAACGGTGTAAGAATCTACATCGAAACGTTGCTATATGCAATGAACCTGAAGTTGTTATCCATAAAGTTGCAGTTTTTCTTACTCACGTGCAGTAAATGTCCATGTCTGCCAAACAAACATCTCGCTTGGCTCACCAGGTCAACATGGTCAAAGGATATAAATGTTCATTTAATTTCTAGTGAGCTAGGTGTTGGGTTTAACGCCGCTTTGGACAGTATTCCAGTTGTATCACGGCGTGTCAGCTTAATGTTGAGCTCAAAGTGATGCAGGTCTCAGACGTTTCCCACAAGCACAAGCATGGTGCTACAAACCTAAAAACATAATCATGGCGAACCAGGATCCTGGTGTGCCCAAGGGACATAACACAGCAAAGCTAACTGCAGAACCTCAGATGACTGGGCCACCTGTTCCCTCTACTTTATATGTACATTTCCTATACTTAATAATACTCACATAGTATTCCACCGGGACATTTATTTTAGAGTGAGAGAGTTGAGTTGAACGTTGCCTTGAACATTGTTACTGCTATCTACTGCCTGTCAGGGGTTAAATAGGGCTTAATGTGGAGTCCAAGATTACTGCACTTATATAGCGACATGCATGCACGTGTGTGTGTGGCTGCTTGTATTAGTCCGGCTAATGCAGATTTCATAGTGCTATCCCACTGAGACACCATGCCTCAGTTTACACAAATACCAGACCTCTCTCTGGGCGGATGCTCTACCACTAGACCCATGGCGGTCCCTGTCTGTCAGCTTGATGGGGAGGAAGCATCAAGCAATGAAGGTCTTTGAAGTTTTTGTCTCTGATGAGTGAGTGAGTGAATATGGTTTTACGCCGCTTTTAGCAATATTCCAGCAATATCACAGTGGGGGACACCAGAAATGGGCTTCACACATTGTACCAATGTCGGGAATCGAACCCCGGTCTCTGGCGTGACGAGTGAACGCTTTAACTTCCAGGATACCTGACCGCCCCACAGACAAACAGACAGACAGACAGAAAGTATCCCAAGATTTGAATGCATGGGAGATAAGAACATAAAAAAGTTTTGTTTTGTTTTTTGTTATAACGCTGCATTCCAGCCATATGAACATACAGAAAGTCTAACATGCAAACTGTCAGGGTTCGATTTAAGGAAATTGGTTTAACTTGCAAATGTTGCGCAAAACAAAACCAGACAAAACCAGAAAGCATCCTGTTCCCATAAAATTACCAAAGGTGCAGCATAGGACGTCCTGCTGCCAGTGTCACAAAAATTAATGATGTACTGCTGTAAAACATAATCCAAATCTTGAAGCACCCACAGTTTGGACGTCAAGCCTAAGAAAGCATGAGTGAGTGAGTGAGTATGGTTTTACGCCGCTTTTAGGTAATATTGCAGTAATATCACGGCGGGGGACACCAGAAATGGGCTTCACACATTGAACCCATGTCTGGAATCGAACCTGGGTCTTCGGCGTGAAGAGCGAACGTTTAAACCACTAGGCTACCCAACTGCCCCTAAAAAAGCATGACAAATTACACATAACACAGAGATTGAGTGATGTAGTATGGTAAGTAAACTTTAGAGGTTTGAGTGTGTTCAAAGATCAATGTTGTGTGGACAAGCAAGTGTAAGGCAGACAAAAATAATTTTTGACATGCACTTGGTGCATGTAGACATAAATATTAGCTTGCATTTTTCAATACTAGGTTGCACTGGGTCATGTTTCTTACAGCTAAATCGAGCCCCACAACTACAGATACAGGTAACTAACTGCTACTTCACCTCGCTCACTCTAAAACACTGGATATAACCATTTATACAATAAAATATGAATTGACTGTAACCATGGTAACATATGATAGAATGACAATCAATGTCACTAAAATCTGATCTTAGTGCTCGCAACCGCTACACAAAGATGGGAAGACATATTACAGGTCACGTCAGGATGACCTTGCATCTAACTATCAGAGCATCACTTACAGGTTATGAAAGTAAAAGTCAGAATTTGGTCTCTAATCATGCAACCTCGAAAATGTTAGCACGGCCATTCTGAACGACAGTTACGGGCTGTACGATAAACTTCTGAAACGGAAGAGACTCTCAATACCCTGGGGAGGTACATGAAGTTCTGCCATGCAATCGAGGCCTTCTATTAGAAATTTGATTTGTTCAGTTTTTAAACTGTGTCATGATATGTTTTAAAGCGTAGTCTGGAATGGAAGTCAGCATTTTGAAACTTGTGTGTGGAGCTGAAAAAAAGCAGCTTTCTGATTGGCTAATGTCAACTTCCTGTTAGTCGTTTCATTGGTCAGTCAAAGTTCGCCAAAGGTCAATCTGACATGACCTGTAATGGAATGTCCCAAGATCTTTGAGTAGTTGTAATGAGCACTAAGATCTGGGCCCACTTGCACAAAGCAATCTTAGCACTAAGATGATCGTAACTCCCATACTCTTAACATAGGCTAAGATCGCTTTGTACAAATGGGCCCTTATGTCAGTGAGATGAACAAAGTGATGGACGAGGTAACCAAGCCATTTACAACGTACATGTTTCACAAGAAAACTAAAACTAAAACTCAACACAATCCAAAACATCAAAATATTTCAAAAGAAAATCTTAAATTTGCGAACTCATTCTAAAGCATCAAATAGGTCAACCACACATACACTGTACATACTTATTCATGTTGTGTGAAATCTGGCAAAACAAGAAAATATGTTCAAATTGCATGTACTGAACTTCAATGGACTAAAGTTAAGACACAATATTTCAAGACCCAAACCATCTGGCTCTGAGGGTGTATCTTCGGTGGCGCTACATAGTGCTGCAACATCCACAGAACAGCCGGTGTGCATCAACTCTGTATAGTGAAGTGCCGCACCTTAGAGTGAGTGAGTGAGTGAGTTTGATTTTACGCCGCTTTTAGCAATATTCCAGCAATATCACGGCGGGGGACACCAGAAATGGGCTTCACACATTGTACCCATGTCGGGAATCGAACCCGGGTCTTCGGCGTGACGAGCGAATGCTTTAACCACTAGGCTACCCGACCGCCCCTCCGCACCTTAGACCACTGGGCCACCTGAAGGAAACTTGTTAAGTTTGGATTGTTTGTTGTTAAATGCTGACTCAGCAATATTTCCCCTGTATGACACCGGTCTGTAAATAATCGAGTCTGGACCAGACAATCTAGTGATTGATGTCATGAGCACAGATCCACGCAATTGGGGTACTATCACATGCATCAACCAAGACAGCGCGCCTGACTACCCGATCCCGTTAGTCGCCTCTAACGACAAGCATAGTCACCTCATACGGCAAGCATGGGTTGCTGAAGACCTATTATAACTCAGATCTTCACAGGGTTATCGATACATGACTTGTGGCGGCACAGAGTAACATGTTGCACTGACTATTTCCTGAATTGTTACACCACTTGTTTCGCCCCAATATGTGACAGTGAGTGAGTGAATGAGTTTGATTTTATGCCGCTTTTAGCAATATTCCAACAATATCACGGCAGGGGACACCAGAAATGGGCTTCACACATTGTACCCATGTCGGGAATCAAACCTGGGTCTTCGGCGTGACGAGCGAATGCTTTAACCACCAGGCTACCCGACCGCCCCCGATATGTGTCATATCACAAGCATTGATAACCCTCCATTTACTGCAGGGGATAGTCCTGTCACTAAAATTATGTTTTTTCAAATTTTGCCAATTCTTCTTTAAGTTTTAGTGAATAGCTTGATGCTCTGTGGAACATTTCAATTGCTGGTACGCCACCTAGTGTTAGCGAGGAACACCAAAGTGATGCAAGTAGCAGACATTTATCAAATTGGTGAAACTGTTGACCACATGCATGGTGCAGTCAGACCAAGGATCAATATAAGGTTGAATCTGGGATTCAAACCAGTGAAATGAGCACTTGGACCACTGGACCACCCTAGCCTTCCAGTCCAGTATTAATCATATATCTCCAGCGATGTATATAGACCTGCTCATAGGACAAAATACGGCTTCAAGTCAGCAGTAAATGTCAGTAAAACTTCTCAAATTGAAATTACAAATTTCCCACATCCTGCTGTTACAGTTAGAACTAAGGAGATGGCTTGTATTTCAGACATCAGGGCCAATGAAAAGGAAGAGGATTCAATGATTGCAATGTTAACCATGTCAACATAATTCTGAAATTAGGAAAATAAGATTCTGAAGAAATATTGTAAAATTGAACAAAATAATGTTTCATCAGTTTGCCTTTGTTTGGAGCCAAAGATAAAATGCTGAAAACTAGTGTAACCCTCACCTTGACATCTTACAAAGTCAACCAAAAACATTTGTAACTGCTATATGCAGGGCATGATCAGTTTCCATTTGCCCGTTGTAGTGTTTGAAAGTTGTCAGTACACCAAGCCTCTACAGACAAACTATATATACAACTAAAAAAAGGCAAAGAACACCCAATTCTTTTTCATATGACTACAGTTAGTGTGTCATGGCTGGTGGGTATTCCAACACAGCCTTCCACTTGTGGGTGTTCTTAACTTGTCTTGAGTAGTATAAAACAAATAATGGAATAAAAGTCATATTTAAGAGGTCATCAAGCTGACAAGCTGATTGGCTGGTTCAGTTTCGTGCACTGTAACCATGGCAACAGAGATGGCCTTACTTGCCTCTAAAACCCAGGATTCAATGAAATGAACCACATGAAAACAGAAACATAGGCGAACTAAAATGGCCTAAATTGGACACAAACTGATCAGATGATTCTGACATTGGCAAACTATGAAGATTAAATTAACAAATCTGCTCTGGACTTGAAGGCTTGGTTCCGCTCTAGCTTCATAAACCAGTTGAGCTTTGAAAATGTCCAAATTGGAGACTCCATGTCTCGATGAGTGGCCACCTGGTGTCCCTGGGAGGTGTCGGACGTGAGATCAGTGGCCTCCAGTCTGTTCCTGGTACACCTCGATAGAATCGTCATTCTCCATCTCCAGCTGAAACAGCAACCCCATGTCAGACGGGCTCTCACAATGGAAACAAGATGGCCAACATGCCACTGAGAACTATTTTCCTTCCTGATGCAAATCTTTTCTCTGTTACTCAAAATCCAGCTATCTTTTTTTTGTTAGTTTTTTCTTTGTTGTTTTACGCCGCACTCAGCAATTGCCAGCTATATGACGGCGGTGTGTAAATAATCGAGTCTGGACCAGAACAATCCAGTGATTGATATCATAACCATCGATCCACGCAATTGGGATCGATGACATGCATCAACCAAGTCAGTGAGCCTGACCACCCGATCCTGTTAGTCGCCTCTTACGACAAGCATAGTCGCCTTTTACGGCAAGCATGGGTTGCTGATGACCTATTCGTCCCCGGATCTTCACGGGTCCCAGCTTATCTAGTCATATGGGTAGTAACTAGTCTTGGACTAACATGGTTGTCAATCTGAAGTGTTTGTTTGTTTGTTTGTTGTTTAATGCTGCACTCAGCAATATTCCAGCTATATGACAGAGGTCTGTTAATAAATCGAGTCTGGACCAGAAAATCCAGTGATTGACATCACGAGCATCGATTATGGCAATTTGGAATACGATGACATGCATCAACCAACTCAGCGAGTCTGACCACCCGATCCTATAGTCGCCTCTTACTAAGCAGTCACCTTTTACGGCAAGCATGAGTTGCTGAAATCCTGTTCAAACGATCTTCACTGGTCTGTGGACTAGTTGGATATGATAAATGGTGTCTACCCCTGTTGTTGCGACTTTGCAAGTTTTTGGATATATTTTTTTTATGAAATTTTTTTGAAATTTAAAAAAACCAAAAAACTCTCCTCTCACAAATATATGAGTGTACAGTAATGAGTATATTACCTGTTTCGGTGTTTCACTATCATTGATTCTCCGGCCGTCAAACAAAAACCTCAATGATGTCAACTGTAAACCCTGGAACAGAACGTACATAAGTCACAATAACGACCGGCATACATACTACTTTCCTTGAAACAGAGAAATACACACAGCACTGGCAAAGATAGAAATATCCCACAATACACAATGATGATTTCACATTATATCATGGTATAAAGGTTTCTGATACCGACCCCGCTCAACTCTTGTGAAGTTTGTATATGCAGGGTAATGACTTCATGACTATACAGGAGGGGGGAGGAGAGGGGATGGGATTGATGTTGCGTTCAATATTATTGCACTTTTATAGCAATGTGCATCCATGTATGTGCGTGTAAACGTCGGTTTTACAGTGCAAGCTCACCGAAATACAATGCCAAACTGCTACTAATATCCGCATCCATGTAGGTACGTGTAAACGTTGATTTTACAGTGCAAGCTCACCGAAATAAAATGCCATAGCTTTAATATGGTCAGTGAGGAAGTTAACGCCGATTTTAACAGTATTCCAGTCATATCACGGCGTGTCAGCTTAATGTGGGAGGAAAGCCCGAAGTGATGTAGGTCTCAGACGTGTACCACTTCGGTGAAACCCATGAGCACGGGTATGGTGCTGACAAACCTGGAAACAAAATCGAGGCGAACCGGGATTCGAACCCACAATCATAGGTTTCTGGCGTGCCCAGGGGACGCAAGTTTTAATGTGGAAACCCTACTCAGACACAGTATACTCCAAGCCGACCAGTCCTTGTTTTATACCCTTAATGTTGGGAGTCAGACAGGGTAACAAGTACCACCTTTAAACATCTTTTGGTATGATGCAGCCGGGGATCAAACCACCGATCTTCGGCTATCTGGGCAGACGTTCTGTCCACTAGACAAGGGGGGCACGGGTGGCCCAGCCGTCTAAGGCGACGCAATTCGCTGTGCAGGGTTGCGTCCCTTGGGCACGCCAGAAACCTATGATTGTGGGTTCGAATCCCGGTTCGCCCCGATTATGTTTCTAGGTTTGTCAGCACCATACCCGTGCTCGTGGGTTTCACCGAAGTGGTAAACGTCTTAGACCTGCGTCACTTCGGGCTTTCCTCCCACATTAAGCTGACACGCCGTGATATAACTGGAATAGTGTTAAAAGCGGCGTTAAACCCAACTCACTCACTCACTCACTCACTCCACTAGACAAGGGAGGTGGTACCCTTTGTGTGTGAGAGAGTAGGGGACACTGCTTTAGCAATATTCCTGCCATATCACTGCAGCAGGACCTCAAGAATGAGCTTGACACTTTACACTTTATAGGGAAGGAAACTGTGCAGACACTTGAACTGCAAGGCTAACCCAACACCCAAATACAAGTACAAGTACAAAGTGCAAAAGGACTACCGATAAGGGCATTGCCATTTTAGGTAGGAAGGGCTGCTCCAAGAATGAGGGTCCCCGGACTGATCACAACGTTTTCTTTTGAGACAAGGCTTTAATGGATGACCAAAATACAACACACAGTCTCAGTGTCCAAGGGAGGTAACTCCTGTGTCAAACATAAACTAAATACCACTAATTACTGGCGCATCAATCCTTGCCTCCATGACTGAAAGTTTCAATGCTGCAAAACAGTTGTGTTCTGCCATTGTTACTACTCACCATTCTTTCACTGTAAGACTTCTTCAATTTCAACATTGGTGTACTCATCTTCACTCGGAAATGTATTTCTGTGCTGTCCTGCAAACATACAGAAGACTTCAACATAGGGCCACTGTTTAATGAGTGATGGAGTATTGTTTTACGCCGCTTTTAACAATATTCCAGCAATATCACTGCGGGGGACACCAGAAATGGGTTTCACACATAGTACCCATGTCAGGAATCGTACCCGGGTCTTCGGGATGACGAGTGAACGCTTTAACCACTAGGCTACCTGACCGCCCCCACTGTTCGTGAATATTCCGGGTAAAATAGGTCTTCAGCAACCCATGCTTGCCGTAAAAGGTGACTATGCTTGTCGTAAAAGGCGACTAACGGGGTCGGGTGGTCAGGCTCGCTGACTTGGTTGATGCATGTCATCAATCCCAAATGCGTGGATTGATGCTCATGATATCATGATATCACTGGATTGTCTGGTCCAGACTCGATTATTTAAACAACAAACCAACCAAACACTGTGGAATGAAGTTACTCTGTTCAAACACTATTGTCAATGACAGTAACGCAAAGGTTTGTTTGGTTCTTTGTTGGTTGTTTAAAGCCACACTCAGCAATATTCCAGCTACATGATGGCTCCCTGTAAATAATCAAGTCTGAACCAGATAATCCTGTGATTGATATTTTTAACAATCATCCACGTCATCCAGGTATCATGACACGTCACTAACCAAGTCACCAGGCCTTATAGCCCGATCTGTTTGGTCAGACCAGCATAGGTTGCCCGAGACCTGTCCGACCCGGATTCCCAGAGAAGAGTAACACAGAGGTAACCATGGTAACAAGACAAAAATGGAGCAGGGTTCACTCATACCCCCAACTTCAACTCCAACATTTGTTTAAGTTCAAAACATGAAAAAAGCAAAATCGACTTTTCAAAATCAAACTTTGCACTGCACTTCTCCTATTGGTACAGAAACTGTACCCCAGTTGGAAAATAATCCATAAAATAGTTTCCTAGTTATAGGTCGCACTAATGTTTAAGTAAAAAACATATTCAAAGTTCACAACATGAAAAACATAATATGTTCAGAAAATACACAAATCAAAATCAAACTTTGAACGGCACCTCTTCTATTTAATATAGTATGGATGCTGTTCACTAAAATTGAGAAGAATCCATGCAGTTGTTTTCAAGTTTTAGGTCACATAAATGTTAAAGTAAAAATATACGAAACAAAAAATGAATAAAAGCTCTATTTTTTAAACAAAATCCAAATATAGAAATCAAACTTTGCACTGCACCTCTCCTATAGGTATAAAAAGTGTTCAAGTTTGAAAAGAATCTATGTTGTAGTTTTCGAGTTATCAGTGGTTATTGGTCACACAAAAAATATATCCTCAGAAGGACAGACAAAATTCCTTGGTAAAACTGTATACCCTCGCCCTATCAGGTGAGAGGTATAATAAGCATCGTAAAACTTATTAAGTCAAACTTATTAACAGAGAACCATGGTAACACAGGTTCAAAATAGGTATCAGGGATAGCCATGTATTTTTTTCTATTCAACAACAGAGTAGAATAGGTCTTCAGTAACCCATGCTTGCCGTAAAAGGCGACTATTCTTGTCGTAAGAGGTGACTAACGGGTTTGGGTGGTCAGGCTCACTGACTTGGTTGATGCATGTCATCGTAACCCAATTGCTTGGATCGATGCTCATGTCAATCACTGGACTGCCTGGTCCAGATTCGATTATTTACAGACCGCCATCATATTGCTGGAATATTGCGGGCACTCATAGAGATGTTTATAATGGGCATCAGTATGTTGTCATGGAAATACCGTCCTATGAAGATGTGTAATGGTGTTTTATCCGGTGAGTCCACCCCATACTGTCAATCAACTGATCTGTGGCAATTGGTACACATGATTGACAAGTATGCAGATGCCACAAGATGATTTCAAATGATCTGCTTAAAAAACCTGTAGTCCTGTGTGGATAGGGGTACATTTGTGATTTGATGGGTTTGTACTTGATTTGCAGAACCAGTCCTGATGAAACAATTGTGCCAAAAAAACGCAATATTTCTTCATTAAAATTGCAAGATTTATTCCTGAACTAACAAGCCTTATAGAACAACAGGATCATAACATCGTTTGACAGGTGATCAATGCACGGCAGCATCCGAAAATGAAAGCAAACTGCAGTGTCACTTTTTTAAGGCACTAGCACATCCATGAATATTTTATTTTATTTCTTCTCAGGTATTCAGAAGGGCCAGTGCTAGAGAAAAATCACAAGTCCCACAGAAATCTTTCTCGAAAACTGCAAATCACCATTTCTTACATTTAATTTTTTTTTAAACAATATTACATGTGATATCTTCCAGCATTTTACATTCGTTCAGTCTGTACAGATAAAAAAGAAGACTGCCTTTTCAAAATTTACACTAGCAAATTGGTACTCATTGATTTTGAAATAGGTGATCATGACAAATCAACAAATTACTATTAGTTTCATCAGGAGAATGGATCAACACATTTGTCAGAATTCACCTGGTTAAAGCAGAGCTCCAGAGGGGGGTATTTTACGCTTATCTGTAGCTCTGTAAAGTGAAGACAAATATACCAAAACCAGAGTAATGTTACGAGAAACAAATGCTTTTGGAAAATTCATGAAATGATATATTCTGAAAACATGTTCAGAACAGATTGGATGACAATCAATCATTGTCCAAGAAAACTAACGAAATTTGAAACCATAGATCAAGCAGCACATGCACTTGTCATAACATTTTTTCAAATATTTTTGGAAAAAGAAATGTAAATATATTGACATTTTTGCATATTGATGAATGTGAAATTATTCGAATACAGCTTTTGTCTTCAAATTTGTGAACTGGAGAAAGGGGACAATATTTGCTGAATCTCTTTATCCTGGATCGAATCTCATGGGGTCATTAACAAACGAACACTATTTAATAATTCTGACAAATCGAAAGTTATGGTCACTAATCATCACATTATTGTGCAAATAAACTAACAAAACCATGGCTCTACTGCTGTTTTAGTAAGAACTTGTGACAGTGAGCATGTGTGTCCTCACCTGGCCTACAACTTTTAGTTTGATGTATTCACTTGACGAGTCGCTGGCACTGGCGGTGCCACCATCTCCAGGTCCCGATGTCTCTTGACTATGGTCCTGACAAAACACAACAAGACAGTGAACAATCGGGGAAAAGTTAGACTTTTCATTACTAAAGAAATCTCCGAGCAACAATTTGTAACTATGCAAAACTCCATACACCCTGATCTTGATCGGACATCCTGAATGTTTCGCTCCTAGCACGCTCGCAGTGTTTGGGGCACCTACAGTTTCAACTTCCGGGTCAACCAGGTACGCGCTTCCCCATGACTAGTTACAGTATTTACTTGACAATAAAGACCGCCTACTGGATCATCATTAGCGAATCCTATTTTCAGATTTTAGTATTTCCAATTCCATGATCAAATATGTTTCGAATCAGAATCAATCATACACTCGATAATGAATTAAGTGTTTACAAAATTTGATTTATTAATACTTTAATATAACAAACAAAATAGCACTTAGAAATCACTGCAATTTCGAAACCAAATGAAGATAGCATTTAAGCAATTCTCCATGAACGAGCAGAATGTGCCTATTTTTTTATTCAGTTACGAATAATATATACGGCTATTCATTGTATTTTCGCAGAAAATAAAAGACATGATACCAGTATTTCAGATACTGTCCACCCAACTACCATTATCCAAGTATATCACACCGTAAATGGGATTTAATAATGAACTGGTATGTCCTTACGGCGCATTAATCAATATTCTAGCTGCATTCACATATAGTTGCTAGCTGGTACCAGCAAACAAACATATTGACCGCTAGGCCTAAAAAGCCGCCCGTATGTGTTTTTTTCCTTTCTTTTTAAAGGCGAATCATTATATCACTTTTGTTTAACGGATGTATTTATCGGTAGGTAGTAAATAACTTTAAAAATCAAACGACATTTCAGGTTTTTGTTCTTCTGAAAGGACATTAAACACAGTGCATGGACAATTTGTTTGTGGTGAACATGCAAAATTGAAGTCGACAGAAAGGAAAGACTGTGTTTATTTCCTCTTTTCATTTTGTCCCGAACCAATTTATTTGAATATACAGTAAACTACGGTTATAACGAACACGCTTATAACGAACTGACGGATATAGCGAACTAACTGTTTGGTCCCGACTACTTGCTGTAGTCATGCTGTATATGTACTTATAACGAACTACGGTTATAACGAACTAAAATTAGTAGTCCCATTGAGTTCGTTATAACCGTAGTTTACTGTAGTAACGTCCAACATTATATATTCATCCTGACAGTTGTGAATTTCCTGTAATTATCGGGTTGTCCTACCACCCACGTGATCAAGGTCAGTCAAAGTCAATACAATACAATTTGACGTTCATACACTTTTCGTGTAAAGATAACCCCTATGTTTTCAATGTAGAACTGGACTATCTGTAGATGTCAAGAAATTGGACTACAGGTATACTAAATTGTTAATATTTATTTTAGTAAGGAGGAAATAAATAGTAATTTTATAGATATTTCATATATATCTCCCTAATATATACGTCAGAGGGTAAGTGATGTGTCAGTCGGACAGTGACTGTATCCAACATAGTTCCAACTGAAACCTGTTTCTTATACAGTGGCGTAACTACATATATGCAAAACAACAATTGCCTACACAGATAGTTTTTACTTGCCTTTCGCGGCAATCCATCGGTCTGTCCGATAGAGTAACTGACCTTTTATCAAAGGGAAGCTACTCAAACCCTTGACCATAAAACGTCACCGCCACAGTCAGACGTTGACAGTCGGTCTGTCCTGTCATAACGTTACGAAGTGCAGTCAGATGTACACACAGCGAAAAAACGAGGTAACAATTCGAACATATATTTCGGCCACATCCAACCGTTTTAATTTGTGGAAAAGGTTGCAAGCCCCAGAAGTCTACAATAGGGCTGGGACGAGTCCAAATTTACTACCCGGGTACCCACCCCTCTATTACCCGACCCTACCCGGGTACCCGCTGTAGGTCTCAAGAGGTAGGTACAAACTGTCCGATTGGAAAACGTTCGACCGTAGCTATGGTAAAATGTGTTTAGATACAAGTATGAAACGATCTGGTGTATACACTGAAGTTGACTGAAGTTTTATTTTTATTCAAACATATAAAAGTCAGAAGGAATGGGCGTAGTAGTCATGAGTGAGTGAGTATGGTTTTACGCCGCTTTTAACAATATTCCAGCAATATCACGGCGGGGGACACCAGAAAAGTAGTCATGAATGTTGTAGACCTTATGTGTAATCCTTAGTCGCAAGAGATTACAGTCCACGGGGTTGTGAGAAAATTCAGTTTATTCAGCAAGGCATATAGAAGACACTCCTGAAACAATTTAAAATCACAATATATCACATGTTTCAGAATAAATGTACAATAACACATTAAATGTAAAGTATCGATCTGCTTCTTAATAACTGATTACATCATTACAGCAGATACGCAAATATATTTCTGCCTCGATATCTAATCAGTGCAGATGTACCTTCATATACAAAGACAATATAATTACACATTATTAAACGCATAACTGAGGAAAGCATTAAATCATCACATAATCATATTATGCATAATGAATGCACAACATGAACATATTATATAGATAAACTATATACAAAACATACCCTGTGTGTGACACGAGAGTGTAACATGCCTTCTGCCAGTCGTCTCATTCGACAGTCACATGAAACTAAATACAGATACAATATTAATTATAATATTGTAAATAACATATATAATCACGGCATATACATGCATCACTGAAATACAACTTCAGTCATTCATTTATACAACTATCAATAAATACATGCATACATCTAGAGAGATATGTACAAAGTCTAGAAATACACCAGATTTACTAAATAATAGCAAATATGCATCAAATACCAAAATACGCAAAATACCAAATAACCAATACATTGAAATATAAAATATATGTATAGATAAGCAATACTCATGAATCAGACCCTAATCTCATCACACTCACCTCATTCACTCAACCTATCGTTTGTTTATGTTTACAAGTTATTTAAAACACATTTTATCATTTATTACTTGATTTATACTAATGATTGAAATTATAATGTTTAGATTGATACAGATTAATTATGATTACTAACCTTGATAACTTGATCCTCAATCCATTGCTGTGCAGTGCAGGTGGGTGTGTGCAGCATAAGATTAGCAATGGCAGGTGAGAAAGGGATTTGAATTGAAAGGTATACTAATTGGCTCACAACAGGTAACCCTAATGACGAGCAAACAATAGAACAAAACACCCTTGGAAGTAAAATAGACTGGACCATTGACCTTTGACCCAGTAGAAAGTTATCAGTAGCAAATACTGATAAGGACACAACTAATGATAGATAGAAACCAGGAAATGACACAATCCTCTGTTGAATCAACAAGCTGAAATAGAAAAGACAAGTTACTTTATCTACACTAAAAATACTAACATATTTACAAGCTGCAGAATTAACACCTACTACATACTTCCTCCCCTCGGCAAAATGATGTCCTCATCATTTGTCATGACCGGAAATAAGGGACAAAAGCATACTCTTGGCTGTGACGTCATTTACAACTCCTGTACCTATCAGTGAAAGTAGATAATCAGCTCGACTTCTCCAGTCCTCTGGAACATCAGTGATAGCAGACATTACGTAATCTCCAGATTGCATCCACTGAGGCTTTCTCCGTTCTCGGGTAGAGCGTCTAGGAGCTGGTACTGGTCTAGGAGCTACCTGGGGAACTGAGTTGTCACATCCTCTAATCGGTTCTAGATCCTGGTCTTGAACTGCAGGAGTGACATCCTCTGGTACAGAAGCTGTGTCTGAGGTTGCAGATTCTGATGACTGATCCTCAGCCTGATCCACATCGGACTCTTGATCCTGTTCCTGAACAGAATCTGCAGGCTCTTCCACATCCTGATCACTTGAAGTAGAAGCTCTATCTTCATCTACTCTAACCTCAGTTGGCCTATCATCTTCTCTAGAAGTTGACACTGACGGCTGTGATGGAGTGGAAACAACTATGAAGTCATCATCCTCATCTTCATCATAATCTGGGTCTTGTCCTTGGATTCTCCTTGATCTTCTAGGAACTACTGTTGGTCTAGGAACACTAGTTCTGGGAGCAGGCTTAGGTGGTGTGACGTCTTGACGTGGAAGAGAACTCACAGGAAGTAACAAATTTCTATGCAGGGTCCTGGTGCGTCCTTGTCCATTTTCCTTCCTGACAGTGTAGACAGGTATATCAGGGTTAGGCTGATGGATCACAACATAAATGTCACCTTCCCATTTGTCCTGAATCTTATGACGTCCTTCAAAAGCCACAACTCGTACTAACACCCTATCGCCAACATCCAGAACTGCAGCTCTCACACGTTTGTCGTATAAATCCTTCTGTTGACTACGAGATTGATCTGCCTTTTGGGATGCTAACTTGTAGGCCTGGTCCAACCTTTCCTTCAAGGATTTGGTATACTGTAAGGTTGTTCTTGGCTTGCTTGGCTGTATGTCAAGACCAAAAGCAACATCGACTGGAAGCCTTGGGTGTCGGCCAAACATAAGATAAAAAGGCGAGTACCCAGTAGACTCATGCCTTGTGCTGTTGTAGGCGTGCACTAATGGCCCAACATGTGTCTTCCAGTCTTTCTTTGCTTCAGGATCTAAAGTACCGAGCATGTTACACAAAGTCCTATTAAATCGTTCGCACATCCCATTACCCATAGGGTGGTATGGGGTAGTGGAAGATTTCTCAATGTGCAAAAGGTGGCACAACTCAGTCATGAGGTTTCCTACAAAGTTGGCACCCTTGTCGGAATGTATTCTCTGTGGAAGACCATAATGTACAACAAAATGGTTGAAGAATAGTTCAGCTGTTGTTCTTGCTGAGGTATTCCGACATGAATAGGCCTGTGCATACCTGGTAAAGTGGTCGGTGACCACTAACACATACTGGTGACCTCCTTTGGATGCCTCGATAGTCAAAAAGTCCATGCATATCAGCTCTAGGGGCTGTGTGGTCACGATGTTAACTAGTGGTGCTTTGTCAGTGGTCGCCTTCCTCTTTAAGCATCTGTCACAAGACTCTAGGTGTTTCTGAACATCCTGTGCCATGCCTGGCCAATAGAATCTCTCTCTTAAAAGAGATAAAGTGCGGTCTCTGCCAGGATGTCCCGAGTCATCATGCAAACTACGGAGTGCAGCAAGTCTACATCTTGAAGGCAAAA